GAGTAGCTGATACACTTCGACTGCATCACATTGTAGGCTGTCGATCAAGATTGTCGCAACCTGTGCCGGTACTGTAACAGCCGCCGGTTTACTGGAAAATATGGTGAGGAAGTGCGTAGCCAAGGCGTCCGCGCGCTCCGCGTTTGAAATGAGCGTCTGTCCTTCCAAGCTCTAAGATCGGTGGATCGCCCCCAGATTTCATTTGACGTTTCAAGTAGGCAAATATACTGTTGGGTGTTGTTGTGGCCGAGGATGCTAGTTGTTCTCCGAACTGCCTGCTTTTCTTGATCTTTGCGGCGTTACATAAGTTACGCTGTTTCTTGTACACCGTGTAATCTTCATCTTAACCCGAGCTGATATACCTATCCCAAAGTTTGCGACGCCGTCGCGCTAACTGTCTATATTCCGTATCAAACCAATGCGGTTTGACAGGTCCGACTTTTGAATACTTCAGGGGAACGAACGGAGTACACTGCGTATTAAGCTTCCCCTTCATTAATAACCAGCAGGCCTCAAGCGACGCATCCTTTGGTAGTGTCCAATCAGTCTGATTTGCGGCTTGGGTGAAGCCATTGAAGTCCGTCCTTCAATAGCTGAATGTCGGCTTCCTTTGTTTGTAATACGGGAACGGCAATTCTCTGCTTGCCACAATGGAGCAATGGTCACTGTTCGCCAGAGGTTCGAGGACTCTGATCTCTTTTAGCTTCTGCTCGTAGCTCGTAAAGATTAGGTCCAGACAAGATGCCGAATGCGGAGTTACGCGCGTCGGTTGGATGACATGTTGCGTTGCCCCGATTTCAATAGTCTTTTTAGCGAATTGAGCCTCAACGTCGCCGTGACCGGGAAGAAGCCGAACGTCTGGCCAGGTTATCTTAGGTAAATTTAGATCCCTCATCAGTAAGAAATGAGAGCGGCTCATGTGCTTCTGTATATGTGGTAACCAATGGCAACAACGGTTTAATAGGCTACGGAAGATAACACCCACTATTAGTTCTGCTTGTCTGAGACGAATTATGCACCACAATTGCTCGCATAAGTTATCGTTGCTCCGATAGGTGCTGGTAAATTTGCCAGATAGTGACGATTTTATGTACAACAGAACATTGTATGTCCGGAAATAATGACGCTAGTACAAATTTCTAACCGAACACGGATAAACGATCAACAGACCAGACACAACTGCTGATAATTCACAAGTAAATTTTGATTTTTCGTAATTCGATAGAGTTGTACAGAAACCTTTCTACTTGCTCTTAAATACAGTCTCAGTCTCAGTCTCAGAACACCACCGTGAGCCTTTGATTTTCGGTCGCGTCGGAAACAGTAGTATCCTGACAACGCGACTTCTTGGGGTATGACGTCGGAGTTCAGCCAAGTCACTGCAACTCCTAAAACGTCCGACCGCTCCGAGACAGCGAAGCGGCACAGTTCGTCTCGTTTGTTCATTAGGCTGCACACGTTGGCGAATGTCACACGGAGGTTCTGGGAGGTACCGCGGGACGTATCTGGAGATTGAGCAACCGGTTGATACGGGTTCGTACACCCTACTTGATCACGCGAAACTTTACAGTTTGTAAGTCAGTCTCACCTTCCGTTCTGCGTTTGAGCTCAATGACCGCAGTCTTCAAACGATCCCTGTCTTCGGGTTCCAAGTCTCGGCGGATGTGAACCTCTTTGCTTTTCAGTCTTGACAGACGAGACAGTATGAGCTGCGGCAAATTGTGATTTGCGAAGGTAATTCTCAGAGATCGACATGACTGGATAGTTTTCTGGCCAAGTCGGATTACTTCTTTAATCGTCACACCGTCTTCACCGACATCCAAGAGTCTATCGATGAGCACCTGAAGGAACTCAACATCGTGATCATAGCGTATCTGAGGGTTCTCATCTTTTGTCTCTGGTACGTGGAAGATCATGAGATTATGACGCCTCAGCGAAAACGGTAATGCACCTGTGGGAGCAGGACTAGAAGCACTTATCGGTTTGGGTTGTTGTCTATCAGCAGGGGACGCCTAAACTCGATTACGTGGCCATTTGCGCTTTTGATTGCTCCGTGAATTCGGTGTTCAGAGGTTCACGGACCGATCAGTAAAGCGGCATTTCGTAGGTTCCGAGTTGGTCTTTAACCAGTGGAAAGCATTTAACCTGAGGCTAGGCTGGGGTCGAAGACGCTGGTGGTGATGCAGCTCGCGGAGTGACAAGGGAAGGCGAGGTGACAGGTACTTTCACGAGGGCCTTTGACCTCACGTGGTGAATCGTTTGTTTCTGCCTGGGATAGAGGTTTTCCCGTAGTTGTTGGCGGTCGCTGTGTATTCTGATGTCTCACCGCGACATTTATCACTTATAACTTAGAAAAACCGATATCGGATGTCGAGATCATTTTGAAACAGGTCAACGGATACGTCAATGCATGAAATATGGGAAAAAACATCGCAGCCGAAGCACCGAAATGCATGAGCCTTATGTCCAACAACTTTCGAACACGAACCACAAGTAGCTTGAGATGGCATCACAAGGTAGAGCAAATCCAAATCCAAGATGGCGGACACAGATAGTAGTTGGGCCAATTAGCCAAGGAATATCCACCAAATTTACACCAAAAGAAGAATATTGGTACACAATTCACACAGAAAAAGCACTTATAACACAGTTATCCGAATCAAAAGTAGTATCCAGCACTTGGTGATTCACAAATCCACGGGGTGGATAGCTGACGTTATGGCAGAGAGGCATTAAGAAATTGGCGGATAAACTTGGTCAGACTGGCGCGTTCTGTCTTCGAATTTCAGATCGCATCCACCATGACACAGTTACGGATTTTGTGGCTGTTCCGCATTTGCTCTCTTACGCCTAGCTGTTGATTTAACAACACGCTTAACTTTACTCCGCTGTTCACAACTCCCTTTTCACTCCGATCTATGCATTGTCTCACTTTATCCACAATTGTTAATTATTACCATGACAACACACGTTACAGCACCTGAATTCATCACACTTCATGTTTCCGGAGCATAATTTAACTGAACTGTATTATAAAAGTCTTTCTCAACTAACCATGTCACAAATCCCTACCTTGATTTAATTGTTCGTTTTCTAGTAGCTTTACCCCACTTTAGATACCTTTGTAGTTTGCCCGACTTGTTCCCCAACCCCGTGTTCTATGCCATAGAACCTTTCCCATTTTATGTGCACCATGCACTTTACAACTGCCAAAAAACTAAGAAGTTGCTTGCCACTAAGCCTCTTAAAACACACTGTCTTTGAATTCGCTCTTAATCAGGTTATTTACTACACGGAAAAACCGCTTTCACTCCTCTTCACTTCAATGGTTTCTCCTCTCTTGAAGATACGGACGAGCGCTTTTAGCTTAGGATATGCAACCGCAGTAGAACGTAAAAACCAGCCGTAAACTTTTTTTTACCAACATCAGCATTCACGTGCAAACTGCTTTTATCCCAGAAACCTTTATTCAACAAATATCTTGGGCACATGAGTTGGCTTCAGCCATATTTATGTAGACAACCGCAAAGCAGGAGATGTCTTTTGTGACTGATTCATTACCTACAGTATCGCTGTCGTTGTGAGTCCTCTCGACTCTACCCTTGTCAGCCTGAGTTTAAGACCGGTTCTTCACTGAGTATATCTGCAGTATACTTATCTACATAACTGCTTATTGTGTGGAGTGTGGCATTTTAATCATCCCTAGTGCTACCGTGAATGAAAAAGACTTATTATCTTGGAAACATCTCCGTTTACTAAGCAGTTAATCGACTTACAAATTGTATCCTCTCTTAAAGTCCAGCGATTCACTTCAATCGACGGTTCTCCCTCAGCCGCTAGAGTGCTGTGGATCGAATTAGGTCAGCCAGTGTTATAAGGACACCGGTTGCCTTTGACCCGGTAGTTGCATAACACATTGATTGTTGCTTTCGTTTTCCCGGATTCACATCTCCCTTTCCTTGCGAGCCAGAACAAACAATGATAGATTGTCCTTTAGCGTCGTTCTTATCCTTGTTCTGGGCTTTTCCATCTCAGATAGTTAACTAAATATCTGTTCCTAGCGACCAACAGTTGCACATCAGTCATTTCATACATTCATGGTCGTCGTTTCCATAGCTTTACCCATTAGCTAAAGTCCTGTGTTCGCCTTCATGACCTTTGATAAATAGTTGTGCATACCTAGACTCCACCGAATTCACTGATCGCTCCGCAAGCCTGGCGACATCCAGCCTCGTGCCACATAGTGCACAGAGCAGTATCTTGCTATCACTTGCGTGCTGTATGGCGCAACGTTGCCGTGGTGAGCACATGGAAAAACTTCAGGTTCTTGGTGTGAGCATTTGATGCGATCGGGAAAATTGGGTTGAGTATCTCAGAAGAAAGCTAGACAGTCGCTTATAAAGACTTCACCACTTGCATTCGCGGCTGTTTGCTCACTTTCACTAATAAATAGTTGTATCCTATTCACCATCACTTTATGCTTTGTGTAACCTTTCCTGCGTGCCTTCCGAGGTTATCTTTGATTCTTAAGCGGTTGTTTGTTCCTCTGACAGTGTTAGTTTTTACACAGCTACGATTGTTGTTTCGTTCCCGCACGTACCTTTGTCATTTCAACTGCAACCCGCCGGAACACGCGTAGATCATTGGAGCCAAAACAAAGTGACTCACAGTGGGTATGAACATATCATTATGGAGTCCTCTGCAGTCTGTAGAGTGCATCGCATTTGTGGGGGGATTCAGTGATGACGCGCACACAACACTTACAATTCACAATTCCTAGTCGAATCCCACTGCTCTTGTCCGCTTAATCCTCTGTCGAACACACATGGTCACATTCGTATCGCTTCATGCCTCAGCTCCTTCAGCCTTCGTAGCGTTTTCTAATCATTTCTATGCTCGTACGTGGCTTTCCAGTACGCATTCATTTTTATCACATTTTAGATCCGCCATTTCCATTCGGTATTATTCTCATTCATCTTTTCTTGATCACATTCATTTAGGTCATTCCGAGCATGTGACTCAATTACGTGAACACATCCGAGATTTAGAGGGTGAACTGGCCGATCATCGTGATGCCATTGAACTTTTGTCCAGGGAGCGGGATCAGCTGCGTTTAGATGTAACTCGGCTAGAATTCGCCAACTCTCATCTGGTAAGTACAATGCGCAGTATTCTTCTTCTTTGATAACATGACTACATCCTTGTAGTTACTTTCTTGGCGATCGCGTCCCCTGGTGTCGGATGGCACCAGCGTGTCCGCAACGATGATGTGCGTAGGCGAGTACTAGGGGGTGATGATCATGCTAGCTCCCTAGAACAACAGATAGCACTGAATAAGTTGCGTTGGCTCGGGCACGTGCTACGCATGCCTGGTCACCGCTTACCCAGGAGGGCCTTGTTCAGTCTACCAGGTGTCGGATGGCGCAAGGCTCGAGGTGGACAGAAGTTGACTTGGCAGTGGGAAATGAAGTCACTGACGACCAAACTGGGTGCCGTTGGTCCGTCTCGCCTTCCGGGTTGGAGTCCACGTGACTCACCTTGTGCTTGGCTCGAGACTTTACAGGACATGGCTCGCAACCGACACCAGTGGCGCGTCTGCTGCCGTCTCCTAATCGGATTGTCTGTTTAAAGTGTGTTTGGTGCTGAGTTATCTGCGGGGTAATGGCTGATTATGACGCGTGGCAGTGAAAGCCGCAAGGAAGCTGTCTCGCCGATGCCGCCTTATCTTTGCACGATAGCCAGCTGTTTGTGACGGTATGTTGTGAACACAAGGTGTAGGCGCCTTGACCCTGAATGTTTGCTTAGGGCATTAAGGTTTTCAGGTAAGTCCCCCTTCTCTCCCTCTTCTTATTCTTTATTTCATAGGTCCTCATGGTTGTATGGCAGCGAAGCATCAGTTCAAATGGCTGATGTACTGCTGTTGATGATGATGATGATGTCCCCTGAACCCACCGGTATCAGTGCAGTTACAGATTTCATCTGACAACTTGGACTCCACTTCATGTCATGATTCTTCGCGCTTTTGATTTTCTATCAGACACCTTCCATACCACATTAATTAGCCAGATGCAGCATCAACGAAGTACAACAGACGGCGCTTCATATCATTTTAGATCTCTTTCGTCCAGCTTTATTTTGTAGTAGATCCCCACTAGAATTCACAGTCACGTAAGAGATCCTGGCTGGTATTCCACTGACCTACGAATGATTTAAGCTGCAAACGGACCACGGAGAATGCCAAATGAACCCACTATTTCTCACCACTGGCATTCTGAGTTGGTCATTCCCGTGATCATCTAACAGCCTGTGGCAATTTGCATATAGTATTTTCATCACGTACATTGCTCGCTCCATATATGTGATCAGATGAACTGTGTGCTTTATCCACTAACCCCGCATGCAAAATAGCTGCGCGATAGCGCATCTGTGATTTCCGAAGTCGTGTTTCGGTGTTGGTAGGACTACCGCTCGAGTACATTTTCTGTTCATTCATTGGTGTTTATTGACATTGTCTGTGATGCTTCATTGATTAACCTTCTGAACCTAGATAGTCTTCGCTTGCGTACCACTCTCTTCTCAAGCTTACGAGCCGATCCACATGTACTGTCAATACGCTTCAGCCAGCTAATAATATGGTCCGGGTGCCGGAACTCAATGTACCCCGTTATCATGTCCAACACCACCGTAATACGGTCTATGAAAAGAAAAGTGCTCATCCACCTGCGGACAACCATCCAGAGAGTACAATGATAACTAACGAGTAGGAGGGTTCTTGATGCACTTAAACTGAATCGTCTCAGCAGCTCTCAAGCTATGTACTCTGATCAACGATCCGGAAAAGCACCAGACGTCCGTTTCGCCCTATTAGGACTTGCCATTGATGCGCCTCCTCCTCCATCAGGGCCCGAACCCATGACCGCTTGCACCACTAGCCAGCAGCTTATGTCCCTGAGCAATGGGTGACGATGGCAGATTGTCATAACTTGCAAGCTAACTGGGATATAGCACGACCTATCCTCGACTGCCATGTGACAAATTCAGTTACCTTGGGAGTTGTCTTAGTATTGACAGATGAGATTTCCTTGCGCATTTCCAAGCTTTTGTCCATCTCCATCACCTATGGTGTCGCTGAGATTGTCATGCCTCAAGGTGCGAACTTTGTTAAACATCGGCCAACAGGCAGCACTTGCCCGTAGATCAGTGACGTCGTCGATTGATATCTGCTGTTTGTCAGAGACTACAAACTTTGTGCCGTCGGTCCATCTCGCTTTTCAGGCTGGAGTCCCACCTGGTGCTTGGCGTGAGACGTTGCAGAACATGGCTCACAGTCGACACCAGTGGTGCGTCTCGTAGTCGCATTGTCTGCTTATAGTGCGCTTGGTGCTGATTATGACGCGGGGCAGCGAAAGCCGCGAGTTTAAATGGCTGATGATGAGGATGATGCTGATGGTGCTATTTATTACTAACCAGTCTGCAGGATTCGAACCCTATAGCTTGCTATCCCGCACATGCGACACTGGCGATACTTTCCCGTTGCGATTGTCTGGAGATGACCCAGGTTCAAATGCCGGTGTGGACATTTCTCTGAGCCCCCATGCTGTAGGTGCTCTGATCGATTGGATCCCAATCAACAGATGGATTTACGCCACCTGACTAGCTGACTCGTGCAACGCTTCGAAGCCGCGCGGGGCCATTAGGTGTTGGTTTGTCATCGCTACCTACGTCCCCACAAACTAGCGCTGACTCGGTGAAAGATTACTTCCATCTTCAACTGAACGAGCTCCTTCCTTACAGAAAATGGGTGAATATTGTGGTGCCGGTTGGTGGTATGAGCTCCCAAGTTGGATAACTGCCCATTGATATGCTGCATCTGGGTGACCAACACGGTGTAAGCTCCCGTGATCATCACAGTGAGTGGTTGCTACACTCGCATGAAGACGCTCATCTATTTCTCCTAGACACTAACTTCCGACACGGCACCTGCAGTAAAGTGACATGGCGCCTACCAGCCATGGACGCAAATCGATCACGTGATATTTTTGCAGGTCAATAAGGTGTATCTCGAGCATTCTGTAGCTGCAAGATCTGTTTCCCCAACTGTTCGAGGCAATGATCAAAACTATCAATTTCGTAGTACCACAATTTGCAAAGCATTTGTCAAAGCGTTGAAAGTGGGCATTTTCCATTGAGCTTTTTCCTTGTGGGAATTTATCCTTGTAACTATTCATGTATATGGGGGTTCTCTTGTCCACATTTTTCACGTGGGCTTTTTCAGCTCGGCTTTCATCTGGTCACCGCTAAAACAGACATCCGTGGCTTTTAATCTGGAGCATGCTTGCTAGGCCAAAACCCATCCTGAAAATCTCGCCGAACCATTTGCTGGAACGGGGAAATTCGATCGACTCAGTCGGATCTGTGGCGAGGTGGTCCGATATGATAGTCATAATCTTCAATGGAATGCTATGTGGGCCTATTCGAAATCAGTGGACTTGTTGGGTTAACACTCGTTTCTTTTTTTCATGTCTGGTTCCTCTGTTATTGGTCTCCGAGAACCTGTCTATTATTCACTTGAGATGGTTGCTACCGGTTTCCACTGTAGAGCTTCCATGCAATTTCGGTTCTGCTTACTTGTAGCTACCTCGCTATAGTTCGTTTTTTAATGCGTATTGCTCTATGATGCTTTTCCCGTACTCTTTTCTCTCTGCATTATAATATACGGTCATTCCGCTTGCCTACTTTTATCAACAGCAAAAGACGTTAGATACTTCGCGCACCGAAAATTCCCAGAGAGCTTTCTCAGAAGCTGCTTCCCAAACTGAGCTCTTAAGAGTACGTCTCCATTTTACTCCACTACTTTTATTCTCCAACTCTATTCACCCTTCGCCTTTGCTGCTTTCCTACCTACTTATTAGGATTGTCCGGTATTCAAGAGCAAGTCTACTGAAACCTGCTTCCTGTCGCTTGCACCGACACTCCCCTGCCCTGTCCCCATGATTGCTGCAATAGCTCCTGTCAACAATAGGATGCTATTGGGGTTGAGATAGCAAGAAAAACTGTAGATTAGTCACACGTGTTGCATCACATCGCTAACCATTCTACCGGTTCTAAACCATGTGTTGGATTCAGAGAAATTATCTATGCATTCCTCTAAACTTGCTTCCTGTGTTCAGCGCCTAGCAGTTTTTCTTCACTCAAAACAGCTTGAAATTTTGTGTCACTTGGGATCATGAGTACTTAGAAAGTTATGATATCTGAGGAATATATGCTGCGATTTGCGTAGAACCATCTCTTTCACTGCTGTACAAAGAAGCATATGATTCCGTACTGTTTTTGATCAGATTTCCACATACACCCCAAATGCTCATATCCGTCGTTCTTCAACAGCCAATTTTACCTCATGCGCCGAATACATTCTCCATCTTCTAAGTTGAAACAGGACGAGCATGTGCCACCTCTTTTACTCACCAGTGGCGTACTTTCTCATTGCAGCCCGTTGAAGCTACATTTTCATCGGCCCATGCACAGGACTCAACTGGTGCTTCCACAACGGAGGATTGTCAAATGGTACTTCATCTAACCCAGGTTAGGAGCATCAGAGCTTTTTCCACCGTATGGCGGCACATACTCTTACTCATTTACTAATCCAAAACAATCGATGTTGTCTGTGCTAATCTCTTATGCCGCTTTTTCCATTTCCGAACTCTTGAGGCGTCCTCTCAGATCACCGGACTGGATGTTATCTTAATGGATTGATGCTACCCAGTTTTCACTGGTCTTAACGATACTCGTTTCTGAATGTATATGTTTCGGGAGATCGCATGCACTCTCCGCTTGACGAGTGAATGTATGGTGCGTTGTTACCTGACATTTGGCGTCACTCTCAGTCCAGGTTATGTCTATGGATTTTCACGCGTCCTCACCTACCCTCGGGCCGATCTTACTTAGCATCATAATCCTCACGGTAGGTTGAAGTGCGGTCGATACCCGTCCGACCTTATAATTCCGTCATGGAAAATCACATTCTACCAGTGATGTATTCAACTCCTTGGCCCTATACGCCGATTCTGCTGAGTGTGTCTGATAATGAGACAGCAAATCCGTTGGCGCACCATGCTCTCCAAACGCAAAGCCGCCAATCCTGCTCTGTTGCTACCTTTGCTATCGAGCATGTACACCACAGTCGTCAAACTTAGAGTTCTCCATCTTCTACTTTTGTATGGGACCTATTTCGCTAGTCCCCATAGTACTCTGCAGTCACAAATCCGAACTGCTACTGCTTCCCACTGTCTCTGTGAATTAAGCTATTGTGTCGGAGACCAATGAATAGATGTCTGGGGTGAAGCATCTCTCACAGTGGGTATTCGAAGTTTCATCTATTCACAAAACTCCATAACCAGTGACGATTCGTCGGTTCTATCTATCTGCCCCCCTATGGTACTACTTTCTAGGTGTTAGCAAGTGAATACTATTACTTCGTAGTCCACATTAGCAATCTTCTCATCGTTTCCTATTTCTCATTAATTCCTTCAATTCCTCTACTCTATATGATGTCATTGAGTAGACACAGTTGGCCCCTCCGTCTTTCTTAAGATAGTCGCGTGCCGTGTCTCCGAAACACGCCTACACGACTGAGGCCTCGACCAATCTTCAACTCCTTGCCTCGGATTTCAGTGACATTGACTGCTTATCTCACATTTCTGATTTTGGATATTCACTGAGTATGTATTGCACTCCGCCGTTTGGACAACGATGTCCTACGCGAATAGATTTTTGTGAATGGCAGGAAGTGTGAGCTTCTGCTTCAAAGATCCACCAGAGTCGTTGGGCAGCATTTGAAGACGCGATACTTTTTATCTTTTCCTTGTACATTCACATGGACTGTAGCTTGCAGGTTGTCAAAGATGAATGTTATCGACAGTTTTTGCTAAGATGACTCGCACCCAAGCTGGTCCCCAGAGCTACGACTTCCTTTACAAGCCAACACCAGTTGAGGTGGTATGTAAGCTACTTTGGCGATCACTAATTATTAGAGAGTAGTAGGGCGTTTCTTTTGTTTATCGAGAAGATTTATCGCAGCCGGACAGCTACCACACATCCAGGAATACGCTAGACGGCCGTTTCTTCCCGTTGAGATTCTGCAGAGCTCATCTGTACGTCCAGTAATACGGATATCTTGATCGATGCTGTTGCCATAAATGCTCGCGTTCATCGCTTCTTTGACTCCACATATCCTATTTGGGTCTGTTCTGAGATGTATGCTTGTCTTATTGACGACGCTAACGTTTTTTTAATTGTATGGCTTTCATAACCCTCATTTCCGCTTCACGTTACAACCGTTCTTACTCTGTCCCCTGGTACCCAATAAGTGGTGCACCATCATGAACCCAATCCTACTACATCATCGTCAAATACAGGTGGATCACATCAGTTAAGCGTTGTGTACCGATTTTGAACACGTACACTGTTTCAGCCCGTGCTTTTCTTGTCCCAGCAGTGTCCAATCTTGGGGTTACTTACCCGTTACTGGTGTTCCTTAGTCCCCAGCGTGTGTGATAGCAGCTGCGGTGGGGCTGAAGGCGTACGATCTACATCGATTTAAACCGCAATGCCCAAGATCGTCCCACCATCGACAACCTCTTATCCGCCAACTGTATCGTATACCCTCCATCCACTGACCATCAGCGGATCCAACACTTCACATTGCTATGTGCTTCACCAACGTGCTCCTACCCTTTATCGCCGCCGGTATTAGTGCCCCTTTCTCGACCGTGATAATGCCTTGATCTCTGTCGGAAAGCACAGCAAACGGTGCCTTCCATTGTCAACTGGAAAGCTGTCTCCGTCCATTGCTTGGCCGGCATTTCAAGATGCAAGGAATATAATTTACTTTGTTAGTACCGACATGGCTTTTTTGTGAACTTGAGCATCTTTAACCACGCACTACTCAACCGCTTCAGGTTATTATGCTAGCTGCCTTTATTGCACCACCTAGTTTACACAATATCTCGCTGATTCCAACTCCCATACACATGATAGCTGCTCTTCCTGACAGTGTTTGCAACTACTTAACGTCCCAGGTTTCACATTCCTTCTTTCCTCGGTTAGTAACCGAAAGGCTTCTGCCTTATACTCCGAGAGTTTCTCGGTTCAACTCTGCGTGGTTACGGCTGACCGCTACCACATCTTGTGATAGCCGTGTGACAGTAAAACATCGGTGCAGCGTACCTGTGCGCCTTTTCCTTTACCTGCTTTCACTCTTCTTCTTTTTTACTTGCTGTATTTGTTGATTTCGTGTCGTACAGTAGCGACTGGTTTGCACAACTTCCCGTCTCGCCGCTGTCGCCGTCGTTATTATTGTTGCCCTCGCTGTGGTTGATGATAATGATGGTTGTGGTGATGGTAATCATTATATTCAGTACTAATTCCAGCTTCAGAATCCTATCCAACTTCGCCAATCAGACCATCTGGATGCGGATGCGCAGGTGCAGCGATTACGGGAGGAAAATCAACAGCTTCTCACTAAATTGGCTGATGTAAGGGGTTGTATTCAACAAGCAATTGAAGAAAAACGGGCAGTTGAACTGGAACTCACACAGCTTCAATGCAATCTCTCCGTCGACGATGGAGAATACACTCGAGTATGTACTTTGCATCTGACGTCTTTCTTGCACTGTAACTCCTCATTTTCGCATTTCTAACTATGCATGGCCAGTCAGCGTCGAATCAACTTGTTAGGAACATCTTACCCTTATGGCTTTTCAAAGTTTCATTTACCGTTGAAGTCGGCGGAATATGTTCTCATTGCTATAGAGACAGTGTATGACGCTGATTTGCGGTCCACTGCTCCTGGTCACTTGTGACAACCGATGCATAGGACGCATTTCTTTGCAGTGAGTACATATTGTGTACTACTGACATTCGGCATTTGAGATGTGGCACTTGACTCCTCGGTATCTCGCTGAAGCGTTTGTTGAACACTAAACAACTGGAGACCAAGTCATACCCTTATCTATTCGCTAATTGTCCTCCTCTAGTCGTATTATTTGTCCATCCTAGTTTGTCCACCTAGTTTAATGACACCTCAAGTTGCCGGTTACTGGCATTGAAAAAATATGTAAAGAGAACGAACGAGTAGCTAGGGCTTGTAATTGCCATTTTCCTAAATCGGGTTTCCCAGATTAGCCCCATCAGGGGTGCACTTGCCTCGTTTACATAGTCCTGATTTTCGACAACCACATCTTTCTGTCTAATCCTCCTTAATCCTTAGTAATTAAGCTTTTGGCTATATTAACCGAGGCAACTGTGTCCACAGTTTTTCGGGGTATAAATCATACCCGATGAACTCTGAACTTCGTCTTCATTCGTCCGACGGTTAATCTACGAGGCGAGTTGCAGTGGAGGAAAGTTTTGAGTACAAAACCCTGTTTATTGTTCGTTAGTCTGGTCTATAGGGCAGTTTGGCGAATGGATCCTTGTATAGGAAACTTACACTGTGGAGCAGTATGCTATTGCATACTCCCACGGGGATCTGCTTAGATCGCTCACGCACAACCTTGCCAGACGCAAAAACTTTCACGTATATTTTCGACGGTGTTACCTGATACACCTACGAACACACTAAATTACAGGTCATTGTTGGCAGATTCAAATCCTGACAACCAGAAACTGCTTGACTCTGATGGGCGATGACGAATCTGTGAGCTAAGTTGTCCTCCTTTCCTCTTTGTCCGAAACAACCCGTCAAGCGATCCGGGTTTATAAGCCGCAACTTGTAGTTTTCCATGCTTTAGTTTTGTGCACAGGTGGTCGCTAACCACTCTCCCACCTCCTTTGTGATGGGCGCTGAGATTGAGTTTATCTGGATTCTCATCGCTGGCCTCACTTACGAGGGCCTTTGCAAATAGTAAGAACCTTCCATCCGACGCAGTTCAATGGACCACGGAGTTGTGCACGTTATAACGCCTCATTAAACTCCGGTACCATTGCACCTTGGTTGTTTATTGATTTTATTCTCCAGATGCACTACTTCTGATCATCAGGATACCGAGTATGTGACTACACTCAACCGTAGAGTCTGGACGGCCTTTCAAAGCTGTTATCTCTTATGAGAACAGTTCGGTATCGCATTGCGTAACCTTTCGATTACTTTTACCATCACCATGGTGGCATTCTTGACAGTTAAATCGGTCTCACAACATTTCTTAGATCATAGTTTTATTCCCATCTTATCTAACCTGAAGGGCAACAGTTCTCTGGCCTTTACACCTTCAACCACGCTGCCACCTTCCCGATCGCTAATGGTTTGTCCGTTTGATTCTTTGCTGAAGGGGTTACTGACCCGTTTGTAAATAACCTTGTACCGACATTCCGTTTCTTGGACTACGTTTGCTCAAAACTTGACCGTTTGCCCTCACTCAATCATCGGTGCCAATCCTATTAAATGCCTGGCATATGTTATCTCGTCCAGTCGCCAGCCCTACCCAGTTTGTCAGCGTGGATCTTTACACCAATGTGCAGTGTATTCATTTGCCTTGCATACTGAATGCTGTATTGTGGGTGCAGGCGAAAACTTAAATCTGTACAACTCCATCGGAATATAATCGAAAATGATACACATCGCCCAATTAGTAGCAGTAATAATGATAGTAATTCTGCAGAAGTGAACAAGAGTTATAATTCTTAGTCAGCCCATGACCGAGTGGTTCGAGCTTCTCGTCCGTAGACCACAGTTTCGAGCCAGTACAGACACAAGCGACCTCGGGATAACCCCAGTCCGGTACCGGCATATTGCTAGTAACTTTTTATTGCCAATCCCGATGATCCCACTCGGGATGCATAAGTTTTACTCATCCTTACGGTTTATTCATATTTTCTGTTTTGTCATTAACTGGCCACTTCGGGACAAAGCGTTGATGCTGACGATCATTCATTGCTTGACACCATCGTGTCAGTAAGCTTCTTTTCGGCTCCCTATTGACATTTGACAGGTAGCTCAGTTGGCGAAAACACACTGGGCAGGCGTCCTTGTTGAGTAATGATATTACCGATGTCACTATCAATCGATATTCAACACGCTTATTAGAATCTTTGCAGACCCCCGGAGTTGGTTCATGTGTCCCATCATAGAAGGCTACATGCGCCAGCAGCTCCATTGTCCGCACGTTGGCGCGTCAGCAGCTGCCCCCTGAATCATCCACCACTGTATGTTTGGTTGGTTCGGTGCTGGGCATCCTATCAGAAGGTCAACCGGTCAACCTAGCGGAATGACGTCTTGTCAGGATCGCGTCAGCTGATCCAGGCAACCAACCGGGACTGACATCATATTTATGGGTGCGCATCGCCTCGAAGTTTGAATGAACTCTGTGGTTCCCGTGTGACTATCTTCAGACTGAGCTGAACTTAATAGCGAACCGGTGCACGAAAAATGGTTGTAAAGGGGTCATACAGTGATTGCCTAGTTAATATGATAATGGGATACCGAGCAATTTCGCGCCATACATATTGTCAAAATGTGGGGAGCGAGCGAAACTCCTCACTGCCTACAGTCACATTTGCACATTTAGCTATATCCAACGTGGTTTGTTTTCTTCTGCCCGTTATCAATAAATTGTCACATGCCCACCAACAACATTGCTAGGAATTTCATCTCCCTCGAATTCTGCTGCGCTCTTCTGTTTGGCGTAGGCAGTGTGCACTTTGATTGAAACACCCTAGCCGCCAGGTATTGATCGCATCTGCGTGTTGCTCAGGCAGACCTCACTACAACGACGCCATTTGTTGAACTGTCGGAATCGTTCCATTAGATGGTCGTCCGCTATGTCCGGTTGTTATCCATGACCAGTGCGGTAAGAAGACGAAAGCTGTTAGATGCACGCATTTCGTATTGTCTCCTCGGTGTCATTAACAATAACCAATATGCTACTATATAAATAACTATGAGTATGACCAAACAAGCTTAAGGTGCGAAACGCGTGACGGCAGCCTTAAGCTCACAAATAATTGTTTTTGAACACACAGGGCTTGCTTCATCCGGCTTATTGCCGCAGCCTCAGCGAAACGGAGGAAATGAGGATTAGAATGACGTCACGCGATTGTGAACGCTGATCCGAGCTGTATCCGGTGATGCTTGACCACTAGGTGTCTACCTATTGAGGAAGCTGGCGGCCTGCGCGAGCACTAAGACTCAAGGGGGCATGTGTGCTGGTCACTTTCACGCAGAACCCACCTCGGCACGTGTTCCTTTATTCGGGAATCCAAAGACGGATCAGTTCTGCTTATGTAACTGGGTTCGCAATCACCCTTGGATTGGTATATGCAGCATGAATTAGTGTGTTTGATCGCACCCATACTGAACCTGTATGTTGGAGAAAGTAGCAATACAAATCTGCACAATTCCATCACATTATAGACACAAATGTTGTAAATGTCTACACTCCTTGATAATCGAATCGTTCGACAAGTTCTTATGTAGAATTTTAAAATATCTGACTTACAGTTTCATAGAGTACACAAATGCAAGCTATCATTGCTAGTGTGCAATCGTCCTCTGAATCGAATGGGGCTGAAATGTAAATTCAATAACGTTTTGAACTGTCGTACAGATTTATCCTCCACGACTTGTTTTGGAAGACTATTCCAACCATTTACCACTCTCCGTTCAAAGCACAAGGGGTGGGGTAATCTTTTTATATCTAGTATCACAAGATTGTACCGGTGTCCCCGTCTGTTGAATGGTGTTCACAAATGAAGCAGCGGCTTCAACATGGGGAAGTCACTGAGGTGTAATATGGGTAGGTCATGATGAGATCGACTCGCACCCGGCGATAGGATAAGGTGTAGAGTCCGAGGTCCTCGCACCGATTTTCGTACGGTACTCCCCGTAAACCTGGAATGAGCCTGGTAGCGACATGCTAGACCCCTTCGATCTTCTGTGCATCGCATCGGGTGATTGGGCGGTAGGCAGACGAGCCGTACTCCAGTATTGGTCTTATGATGGAAGCGAAGAGGCCAGTGGCGATCACTTCAGTAAAACAATGGTATAGTACGGCTAAAAAGCCAAGGCTTGACAAATCCTGTGGGATGGTTTGTGGGAATAATGTAGTTCAGTGAAGATACACAAAAGTGAAAAACACACCTGTGAATTCATCCTATTATCCACGTTAACACAGGTATATCCGTCTACTCCGATTTCGTGGGATTGGTGAGCGCAATGTTTGTCTGCGTCTTGTCGTCACTCAATGAATAGAAATCAGATCAAGTAATGTAAATGATGTATAGCATCGTCGAATCAATTTTTAAAAATGGGTAGCGTGGGCGCTGAAATGACAAAAGTCGAAAGAGCGTTCCACGGTTGACAAACTGAAAAGAAAAAATAATTCCGGCGGCACTCAAGCCGACTGTATTGGGTGGCAAATTTCAATTTGTGACCCCACAATTCTGTGTTGCAGCTAAGCTTCAGTAGGTAGCGACAAGCGTGACGGGGGAACGCCAGGATGGGGTCACCCCATAGACGGCGATATCTTCCGCTGTACACTCCCAGGGCTTTCAGTCGCCCATGGGATTACAGATGAGACAAACCCTTCACATTTTTCTTTGCCCGTCGCTGTGCGGTCTCCGGTGTAGCCAACTCGCGTTTTAA